TAGCCTTATGAAAAGCACCCTTTGAAAGAAAAGCAAGCACGTCTTCAGGACTGAAAGCTCACCTCTCCCAGTGACACCAGCCCCTCTCCCTAACACCCCTTCCCACAGCAGACATACTCCTGGCTTGGGGACTCCATCCTGCTAATGCAAACCTGAACATTCTACAAAGAGGTCTAAAGAGATAGATAGCAGCGTAGGCACGGGGTTTGGAAAAGGTCCACCAGCTATCCTCGGCACCAGGCAGAATGGAATTTAGAGGTCCATGCAACGCTGCACAAGGGCTCTCGTGTCGTGCTGGGAGCACAACTGCACAGGAGCTGTGAAATAGTGTATTTTGTTCACTAAAGCCATGCATCAAGGTGCCAGCCCACCCAGGGCTCTCCTGCCTTCCCCTTTCCAAGCCCCTGCTGAGTATAACACAAGCCAATCCTGGCATGCAAAGGATACAGGCGTGCAGGCTCTAGTCTGCTGCTTCTGTTAGTAAGTGCATCTTGTTAGTGGATTTATGAGACACACTTAAATCTATAAAAAATAAATAATCCTAATTCTTCATCAGGCTGGCCTAAGTAACCTTCAGCCTGACTGGACAAACCACTGCCCACCAGCCCTCAAAACCAGTATAGTTCGAAGTTACATTTCATGTCAAGTCTTGGAAGCAGAACATGAACGTCTCCTACCCAAAGGAATATATGTAAACATAATAACAAGCCTGGTGTGGCAGTAGCTCCTACACAAGGTTTGTACAAATTGAAACAATGGGTAGGAAGTTAAACAACTGAATGGAAAAAGAAGGTCTCTGAATGGAAAAAGAAGCTCTCTCAGCAAGTCAGAAGGTGCTCATCTGCAGGCAAACAGCTCTGTACACGCAACACGCTGAAAGCAGAGCTGTTACCCAAATCTTTGCTACTCTGCCATACTGCTGGGAACTGACCTCAGCAACTTGCGCCTTAAGATTCTCCCAGGAGCTCGCCTCCTGGTCTCCCGAAAGGCCTAACAAAAAGGACCACGTGATGGTTTATGTGGAGCTCTGAGTAGCAAGATGGCAAAGGACACCAGATCCTCCCCTTCCCCTTACTGACTCACAAACTATCTGAGATTTCACAGCTTTGCTTAGTCAGCTTAGTGTCAACACATTCACAGAATGAGAGATGGCCATACGTCTTGGGATTGCACCCCAAGATTTCAGAGTTCAAGGTCCTCCTGATCTCCTGGTCACCGTGACTGCACACCCAGAGTCATCTTCAAGTTTTCATAAACCACGTAGCTGATGCTTACAGCTGGGATCACCTTCATAAAGTTCGGCGCCAGACCCCGGTAAAGACCAAATGCTCCCTCTGTCTTCAGAATGTGTTTAAACAGTCCTCTCATTGTCACTTCGGGAGCACCCTCCACTGAAGCTGCAATAGGGAAAGCCACAATAAATAACACAGTCTACACGGTGAAAACACTTTAAGGTAACACCTGTCTCAAAAAGCAGTTCTGATTCGTGTTCACAGGGCAAAAATGCTTCATGGGGGACAGCATCTAGTTTCTCAGCAAGCCACGACCATGCTGCACGTCACAGCCATTTTCCCAAACCACTCTGCAGGTGCCCTTAGCCCAAAACTCCTGATGTGAGCAGAACACAACCTCTGTCCTGGAGGTGCTTGGCCCCAGACGCTAAGGACAGCACAAAGTCCACCATCCTCTTACAGCATGGCAAATAGCCTTCTGCTCAGCTGCATGGGCCAGTTAGGGCTGTTGTTGCAACGTTTACACTGGAGGACCTTTACCCTGCTCAGAGACCATGACAGGAGCTCCCACCGTTCCCAGAAGTTCTCACCTTGGGCCTGCATACGTGTCCTCACGAGAGCCAGTGGGTAACTGGCAAGCTGTCCACAGGTACTAGAGATGGTGCCACAAGCCAGCAGGACAAAGACTCCAGGGTCAGCACTGTTGACAGCATAGCGTTGCAACCAGGCGTTTTTTAGTGTCTGGAAGGAACAAGCCAGATGTCAGCGGTGAAGAGGCAATCAAGAGAATATCACATTACATAGAAGATCTA